AAAAAAAAAAAAAAAAAAAGAAAACTGATGTGGAACAATAGGACGACATTTTTCATTTTCTCTACGCACCTTTACATTAAAAAAAAAGACTGTATTTAAAAAATTTTAAAAAGCGAGATTTCCCCCAAACCGCATTCACCACCATTGCTAAGTTAACCAGATTTTTCTGCTGTTCTTGGAAGCGTCTCCTGCCATTTCCGGACAAATATTTGCACTCTTTACAGAACGTCCTTGTGTTGGAAGGTGTATCCCTGTCTGTGCTGGTTAGTTTTTAAAAATTTGGGAGCATGGGCATGTCCACGCCTGAAAAACTCTACCAATTATTTCTGCAAAGCACATGCCTTGTCACGCTTGGTTCCAATGACAAGTAAACCTGGGCACGACTGCTGTGGAAAAACTCCAATTCCCTGTGTAATGGTTCCATAAACACCAGTGAATGTGTAACAGACAAGGGCGTGGTCTTGTGCTGGGGGGATATCAGCAGGGCACCTCCTGGTGACTTTGACATTCAGGCGAGGCAATGTGTGCACAGCTGCTGATCACGTGAGTCCCTTCACGATACAACTTTTCATTTTTTTTTAAGTTGGAGTCTCACTCTGTTGCCCGGGTTGGAGGGCAGTGGCACACTTATGGCCACCGCAGCCTCGACCTGCTGGGTTCAGGCGATCCTTCCACCTCAGCCTTCCAAGTAGCTGGAACTACAGGTATGTGCCACCATACCTGGCTAATTTTTTTTTGAATTTATTATGGAGACAAGAACTCGCCAAGTTGCCCAGGCTGGTCTCGAACCCGTGAGCTCAGGCAATCCTCTCACCTCAGCCTCCCAAAGTGCTGGGAATATAGGCGTGAGCCACCGCGCCTGGTCTTTTTTCTTTTCTTCGTTTTTGAGTCTGAGCCTCCCTCTGTCGCCCAAGCTGGGGTGCAGTGGCATGATCATGGCTCCCCGTAGCCTTGACCTCCGTGGGCTCAGGCGATCCTTCCACCTCAGCCTCTCAAGTAGCTGGGACTAGAGGCGCATGCCACCACACTTGGCTAATTTTTTGATTTGTTTGTAGAGACGAGGTCTTGCTCTATTGCTCATGCTGATCTCGGACCCCTGGGCTCAAGCAACCCTCTTGCCTTGGCTTTCCAAAGTGCTGGGATTACAGGCGTGAGCCACTGCACCCAGCCAACTATAAAACTTTATCTCCCCACTACCTCTTTGTCCAGCCTGGAATTTAATATATGATGGAAGAGGCTGGGCTTAGTGGCTCAGCCTGTAATCCCAGCACTTTGGGAGGCCGAGGCAAGTGAATTGCCTGGGCCTGCAGGTTCGAGACCAGCCTGGGCAACATGGTGAGACTTTGTCTCTATAATAAATCAAAAATTAGTTAGGCATGGTAACGTGCGCCTGTAGTTCCGGCTACTTGGAAGGCTGGGGTGGAAGGATCCCCGGAGCCCAGCTGGTCGAGGCTGTGGTCACTGTACTCCAGTCTGGGCGACAGAGTGAGACTCCAACTCAAAAAAAAAAAAATTGATGGAAGATGAACAGTTGAAAAATTGTTACCATATGAAAGAAACCCGGAAAAAGAGACATAAGGTAGCAGTATGCCCTATTGGGCATGAAAATGCATTATAAGTCTATAATATTTCTCTGATGATCTGTTGCCCACAAATGAGGAATTTTCAGTTTTGATGCAGACAGTCTTGAAAACCAGCAGACAAGAGAAGGATCAAGCGCCCAAATGTTTCTTTGGAGTTTGGGAGAGTAAGAGCTGGCTATTTCTGTGTTCCTTTCACCAAAATATTCCAGATGGATCCAAGATTTAAATGCAAACCATGAAGCCATCAAATGCTCCAAAAATGGTGAATTAATATATACTCTAAAAAATGGGGGGGATGATATCTTTGTAAACAGGAAAACAAAACTCAGAAGCTAGGAAGAGCAAGCATCAAGCATCATACATTTGAATTTTAAAGCTTGTATGTGGGTTGAGCACAGTAGCTCACATCTGTAATCCCAGCACTTTGGGTGGCTGAGGTGAGAGGATTGCTTGAGCCCAGGAGTTCAAAACCAGCCTAGGCAACATAGTGAGACTCCGTCTCTATAAAAAAATTTTAAAAATGGACCAGGTGTGGTGGTGTGTACCTGTGGTAACAGCTACTCGGGAGGCTGAGGTCGAAGGATCACCTGAGCCCAGGAGGCTGAGGCTGCGGTGAACTGTGACAGTGCCACTGTATTCCAGCCTGGGTGACAGAATGAGACCACAATTTAATAAAGTAAAATAAAATATCTTTATGAGATCAGAAACTCATAAAGAAAATAAAAAGACAAACTATGAATGCCTATATTTGAAATCATTTCACTGATGTGTTCCTTTTTTTCTATTTCCAAAACTTTTAAATTATTGTATTTCTTTTGTAGACTGTTGAATGAGCTGATCTCACTTTCTTTTCAGGAATGTCCTGGCTCAAGTGACCCAGTCACAGCTTTTAGCCGGCTGTCTGTTCTAATCTTGGTTACACAGATCCAGAAGGAGTCAAAGGGGTGGGATTGGCGGAGGAATCTTTTAATGTTTCTGAGTGGAATGGCAAAACTCTTCTCATTTTGTGTCATTCATGAGAAAGTCATAAGGGAAATACCCTGAACTTGGCACTGTGATGCCATCTAGAACAGCAAACCCTTGTGTTCAAACTCATTGCACAACTGCACATTGTTATAAAGCTCTTATGTCTCTATGGCTGAATGCACCCTTGGCAGATGCCCCTGTCGTCTCTTGAGGCCTGAGGAATGTGACCATGCAGCTGCCGGCCTGGACCGTCTCACATGCCTGGACGTGCCCAGGCTGGGAGAAGCAAGTAGGGCTGTGAGTGTCTCATTCAGAGATGAATTTGCAAGAGCAAATCAGATTAAATGAAAGCTTTATGCTGCACCTGGATAAAAAGGAGTAAGGAAAAATAAAGAAAAAAAGAATGACTGTGGCTGGAACCTATAATGTGGTCTTGGCTTCCAGCACATTTTATTTTTAGGTTGCCGTGGTTTCATCTTTATTTAATAAGGAGTCATATAAAGAAGAAAACAAGAAACGACCCATCATCTCACTGCCAAAATAGCCCCTGTCGACATTTTAAAATAAGAGATGCGGAGCGTTTGACAGTCAAACAGCACAGAATTGTAAATAGAAAGTGTCCCTGTCCATCCCCCAAAGCCAGAATCGTGGCAAGTTCTCATCTTTCCTTTCAAAACAGAAAAAACATTTCTGTATATTTCAGCAATCTCTATATGTGCATATCGATGTATATATGTGTATGTACATGTGAATATGTATATTTCACAAATTTGCATGTGTATGTCTAAGTTTGTATCTACATGTCTATGTGTCTAATATATGTGGGTATATGTATGTGTGTGCCTTTATATGTATATGTGTGGGTGGATATGTACATCTGTTTATGTATTTATGTATGTATATAAGTATGACATATGTGTGTTTTATGTATGTATATGTGTTGATATGTATGTATATGTATATAATGTATGTATTTATATTTGTTTATATATATGTATTTGCATGTTTATTTGTGTATATATGTATGTATTTGTGTATGTGTACGTATTTGCGTGTTTAGTTGTGTATGTGTGTATATGTGTGTTTATATGCATATATGTATGCATTTGCATATATGTGTGTATGTATGTATGTATTTGTGTATTTATATGTATTCGTGTTTACGTATTTATATGTGTATATATGTAGGCATTTGTGTATATGTGTGTTTATATGTGCGCATACATGTATGTACTTGTATATTTACATGTGTGTATAGATATATGTTTTGGTGTATATGTGTGCTTATATGTGTGTATATATGTGCGTGTATGTATTTGTGCATATGTATTTTTACATGTGTAAATGTGTTTGCATATGTGTGTATATATTCATGTATGAGTGTTTATATATGCGTGTGTACATATATATTTATAAATAAATAAGTTTATACCAAAGAGAGCATAACCATTGAGACTTTGATGAACTTCACATTTGTTTTTCTTGGGAAGAAGAAAGTCTTGTTTTTTTTGAGTTGGAGTCTCACTCTGTCACCCAGACTGGAGAGCAGTGGCTGCTCCTGGCCACCGCAGCCTCGACCTGCTGGGCTCTGGCGATCCTTCCGCCTCAACCTTCCAAGTAGCTGGAACTACAGGCACATGCTACCATGCCCGGCTAATTTTTTGATTTATTGTAGAGATGAGGTCTCACCAAGTTGCCCAGGAGGGTCACAAACCCGCGGGCTCAGGCAATCCACTCACCTCGGCCTCCCAAGGCGCAGAATTACAGGCTGAGCCACCGAGCCCGGCTATGAATGCTTATTGAGCGCTTGCTGTATGCCAGCCACCATCACTTTCAATGTATGCTTGCAGCAAGCCCTCATTACAACGCTGTGATGATTCCCAATTATCCCCAATTTACCGACTCAGAAACTGAGGCCCAGGGAGATGAAAAAACTAGCTGCATCAAGTTTCTGTTGCTGTAACAAATGATTAAACTAAGTGGCTTAAGCCATATTGTCTGACAGTTCTGGAGGTCACAAGTCTAAAATGGGCCAGCAGGGCCGAGTTCCTTCTGGAGTTCTGGGGAAGAATTTGTTTCCTTGCCTTTCCAGTTTACAGAGGCCACCTGCATTCCTTGACTGTGAAACCCTTTCTTGAATTCCCAAACTCTGATCCTTCTGCCTCCTGTGTAGCTGGGACTACAGGCGTCGCCACCATGCCCAGCTAATTCTTTTTTTTTTTTTTTTGGTAAACATGAGGCCTCACAATGTGGTCCAGGCTGGTTTCAAACTCCTGGACTCAAGCAATCCTCCTGCCTCAGCCTCTCAAAGTGCTGGAATTACAGGCGTGAGCCACCGCACCGGGCCTTACTTTTCTTTATAAGGTCGCTCCTGATGACATTGGTCCCACTCAGATAATCCAAAATAATCTTCCCATCACAAGACCCTTAACACGACCACATCTATGAAGTCCCTTTTGCCACATGAGGTCATGTATTTACAGGTTCCAGGGATTAGGACACGGCTGTTTTTGGGAGCTGTTATTTGGCCTCCAAATAATGTGGTGAGGAGGGGTGGGCGACAGAGCCTGCTGGTTCTGGTGCCCAAAGTCAGATACCCCCACAGCTTCAGAGGCCCCAACAATTCTGGATTCTGCCTTCCCTCCAGCCCCTCAGCTCCCCACAGGAGCCTCTGGGCTCTGGTTCCTGGAATGTAACTGGTTTCTTTTGGCCAAGGCCTGGGAACACCCTTCCAGGCCCTTCCCTCCTCCGCAGCTGGCCTGGCGTGCTTGGTTCCCAGAGCTTAGCTCAGGGGACCAGGTGGCCCTTTGGAAGGACAGACGGGGGCTGCCCAGCCCCAGATCCTGCACTCTGAGAGCTCCCGGGGGACCTGAGTACCGCTGGATTTGCAGATGGACCGTCAACTGGGGAAGGGACAACACTTCTTTCCCTTTTACGCGTCTCCTCCCGAGTGAAAGCCACTCCCTGCCACGAAGCAGGATAAACTCAAACAGCCAGCCTCCAGCACCTCACTGGAAATCCGGTGCCACAAACCTCAAATGCGGAGACTCCTGTTTTCCTAATGAGGTTTCCTCTCCAGGACGGCAGTTTCTCCCCCCCGCACCTTGTCAAAGCCTCCAAGTGCCTCCACCCAGCCTGATCCTCTCCTGCGAAACTTGCATCTAAAAATAAAATGCATCTGCACAATAAAATATGTCATAGAACAAGAACAGAGCGCAGAGCAGTGTCATGACATAGAATTTAAGAGTGCGGGTTCCGTGGTTCAACTGTTGACTTTAAGCGGCCGTGATGCTTATTTTATTTATTTAGTAGTTAATTAATTAATTTTTTGAGTGGGAGTCTTACTGTCGCCTGGGCTGGAGTGCAGTGGCACGCCCACGGCCACCTCAGACTCCATCCGCTGGGCTCAGGCCATCCTTCCGCCTCAGGCTTCCAAGTAGCTGGAACCACAGGCGCGCCACCACGCCCAGATAATTAAGCGGCCATAATTCTCACCAGCCATGCGACCTTGGGGAAGGCGCTTCTCTTCTCTGTGCCTTAGTTTCCTCTTTTTTGGGGGGTGGGGGTCGGGCTTTTACTCTGTTGTCCAGGCTGGATTGCAGCAGCACCATCACAGTCACCGCAGCCTCCGTCTCTTGGGCTCAGGCGATCCTTCTGCCTCAGCCTCCCGAGTAGCTGGGATGCCAGGCATATCCCATCATGCTCAGCTAATTTTGCCCAGGCTGATCTCATACGCCTGGGCTCAAGCAATCCTCCTGCCTTGGTCTCCAAAAGTGCTAAGGTTACCGGTGTGAGCCACTGTGCCTGGCCCCTTCCCTATTTTCTTTTATGCAAGCACCATATCCCATGACACAGATGTGTCACAACTTGATTGTGTTTATGTCCCACTAAGCACCATCCTTTACAAGTGGGTATTTTGTCCAGTTCCACCCTCTTGCTATTACTCTCTTTGTGTTTCGAACACACACACACACTCCTGGGCTCCTCCCCTTCCCCCATCCCTGTCCTCACTTCCACTAACTTTCCTTGGTTTTCCTCCTCTGTCTGACACAGACCCACTGTGAGCGGGGAGGGAGGGCGTGGCCTGGGCCATCTCCTCTGCTTTCCCCCCACCCTCTCCCTAGATGATCTCAGCCAGCCCAGTGGCTTAAAATACCTCCCAAGTGTCCATGACTGCTAAATTTATATCCCCACCACTGCATCTCTCCTTTGAATTCAGGCTCATAGCTAACTCTGCTTGCAAGTCTGCCAGGCGTATCAGATTTAAGATCTCCAACATGGAATTCCTGACTCCCCGGCTCATTTTTCCCCAGAGCGTTCCCATCCCAGTGAATGGACCCACCATCATTCTGATGGTTGAAGCCAAAACAGAGTATACAAATTTTCATATTGAGGTGAAATGTACATAATATAAAAAGAACCATTTAAAAGTGCTCATGGCTGGGCGTGGTGGCTCAAGCCTGTAATCCCAGCACTTTGGGAGGCCGAGGTGAGAGGATTGCCTGAGCTCAGGGGTGTGAGATCAGCCTGGGCAACTTGGCGAGACCTCCTCTCTGCAATAAATTAAAAAATAAAAGATGAGGAGAGGTGGCTTAAGCCTGTAATCCCTGCAGTTTGGGAGGCTGAGGTGAGAGGATTGCCTGAACCCAGCCCGGGCAACTTGGTGAGAACTCAGCTCTACGATAAATGAAAAAATTAGCCGGGCGTGGTGGCACGTGCCTGTGGTTCCAGCTACTTGGAAGGCTGAGGCAGAAGGATTGCCTGAGTCCAGTAAGTTGAGGCTGCGGTGGCCATGAGCGTGCCACTGCACTCCAGCCTGGGTGACGGTGAGACTCTGACTCCAAAAAAAAAAACAAACAAAAAACTGGCCATGGTAGCGCACATCCATAGTTCTAGTAACTTGGAAGGCTGAAGTGGAAGGATTGCCTGAGCCCAACAGGTCGAAGCTGCAGTGGCCGTGAGCATGCCACTGCACTCTAGCCTGGGCAACAGAGTGAGTCTCCGATTCAAAAAAAAAAAAAGTGTTCATATGCAGCATTTAGTACATTCACAGTGTTGTGCAATCATCACTTCTATCTAGTTCCAAGACATTGTCATCCCTCCCAAAGGAAACTCCGACCCATTGAATAGTCAGTCTGCATCCCTCCATCCCCCAGTCCCTGGCAACCACTAATCTACTTGATGTTTCTATGGATTTGCCTGCTCTGAACTTTTCATGTAAATGGAACCATGCAGTTTGTGGTCTTTTGTGGCTGGCTTCTTTCACTTAGCATGCTTTCAAGGCTCATCATGTTGGAGCATGTGTCAGCGCTTCTCTCTTTTTTGTGGTCAAATAGTATTCCGTTGTTCACTCATAAGTGGGTCCTGGACACTTATCACAATACTACAAGAAAGGGATCGGCAGTTGTGGGACACTGCCGGGAGCGGAGGGGTTGCGGGGAGTGCACATGACATCACTAAGGGTACCTGATCCTTAACCAGGGGAAGTGAGGACCAGTGAGAGGCCCAAACTTCACCTGCACACAGACCACATCTACCCCACATCTTTAAAATAAAATAAAGAGGAAAAAATAAAAAAGAATAAGATAGGCCGGGCTCAGTCTGTAATCCTGGCACTTAGGGAGGCCGAGGTGAGTGGATTGTCTGAGCCCGCGGGTTCGAGACCCACCTGGGCAACTTGGCGAGACCTCATCTCTACAATAAATTAAAAAATTAATCGGGTGTGGTAGCGCACACCTGTAGTTCTGGCTGCTTGGAAGGCTGAGGCGGAAGGATCGCTGGAGCCCAGCAGGTCGAGGCTGCGGTGACCGGAAGTGTGCCACTGCCCTCCAGTGTGGGCAACGGAGTGGACTCTCAAAATAAAATAAAATAAAATAAAATAAATGCCCAATTGTAACCAATCCAGCTGTTTCCATACCTCACTTCAATTTTCTGTAAGTCACTTTTCTTTTTTCTGTCCAAAAAGTTTACTGGACATGTGATAGTCCTGCAGTCACAATGAACTTATTCAGGCTCTGGGGGCTGCCCAGTTCATGAATTGCTCTTTGCTTAATTAAAGTCTGCTAAATTGAAAAAATATATAGATATATATTCCATTGTACAAATGCACCACATTTTATCTGCTCATCCATCAGTGGACATTTGGGTTGTGTCCACCTTTTGAATATTGTGAATAGAGCTGCCAGGAACCTTCACAGACAAGGATTTGTATGAATGCCAGTTTTCAGTTCTCTTGGCTAGGCATCTAGAAGTGGAATTTCTGAGTTATATTATAATTTTACTTTTGGAGTCTTTTAAATTTTTTATTATTTTTTTAGTTGGGATCTCACTCTATCACTTAGGGTGGAGTACAGTGGCACAATCATGGCTCTCTACAGCCTCCACCTTCCAGGTTCAGGTGATCCTCCCACC